TCCCGAGACTGAGCAATTCTACTCCTAGGAATATGCCCCAAAGAACGGAAACTAGGACTTAAACAGACATTGTACATGGCAGCAAAGTCACAAAAGCCAGAAGGTGGAAGCAACCAAGTGTCTATCAACAGATAATGGGTAAACAAAATGTGGTCTATCCATACAGTAGAGTATTATTTATCCATAAAAAAGGACAGAAGTATTGATTCATGCCACAAAATGGATCAGCCTTGAAAACATCATGCTAAGTAAAAAAAGCCACTTAGAGGAGGTTCCTAGAATAGGCAGAGTCAGAGACGACTAGAGGTTGCCCAGGGCTGGGGGTATGGGGATGGAGATGAAAGAGCTTTGGAAAACATAAATGGTGGTGATGGTTGTACAACATTTTGAATGTAATTAATACCACTTAAAATGGTTAAAATGGCAAAATTTGCATTATGTATATATTTTACCACAATAAAAAACATGGTCAAAATATATATAAATAATGTATGTATATAACCTTCCACAGCCAGGCGCTCAATAACAAAATAATCAAATACTTGATTTTAAGACTTGAGGTTCATTTAAGTGCTGACTGAGAAGACAGGAAAATGTTCCAGGGAGAACAAGTCATCCTTTCAATTGAAATACCAGAGCATGTTTCCTGCCCCCACGTTCCACTCACTGCAGCCACACAGCTGCTCTAGATGAGGCTAAGATGCTGGTATGGTCTGGAATCCTAGAGTTCCTTATCTGGCAGCTCCCTTCCTGTCCCCAGTTCCTGGGGCAGCGGAAGGTACAGAATATACACCCAAGATTCATGTGCACTGGCATCTGGACCATGTAGCCCAGGTTTAGCCATGGCTTCTATTTGAGGGAGGTCCAGCACACCTGCACAACCTTCTGTCAGCTGCAGGCGACACACAGCCACATGCCTGGACAGGCCCTACCACTCTGAACAACCACTAGCACAGACAGCATGGGCCTATGCTAGACAGGTGACCACATTAAATGTGAAAAGAACTCTGACGCCTGTTCCGGGGATTTTAGAGGAACCACAGCAGGCAGGGTGGGACGGGGGGTGTTGCATGTCTGCTGTCTGTCAAAGTTGTGCTCATGGTTACCAGTGACCTAGTTAACCAACAGAGCAGACAGAAAAATCATGAATGAATATTTAAAAGGCTTGGCATTTTTTGTAATTCAGCTTTCATTTCATCATGGTAGTTTCTTAAGTAGACAGTGGGGACTGGAAGTCAGGGCCTCGCCTTTCAGAGGTGGTGACTGAGGCCAGGGGAGGAGCAGCCTGTCCAAGTCTATGGGCCAACAGGGCAGGGCCAAGAGCAGAACCTGGATCCTGATTCCTAATCCAGAGCTCATCCTAGGGCACATGTGCCTTTTATTAAAATGTCAATGGAGTGTGGATGTCAGAAGTTACTAAGCACCTTTTCCCAGTTACCAAGTATGGTTTAACATTTAGAAATGACATAGGATGTGATGTAAGGAACATTTACTAATAATTTACAATTAAAGTAACAGATATTGAAATAAGTGGCTCAGCTCACTGGTAATATCTGGACTGGTATCAAAGCCATAAATAAAAACAGCATCATAAAAACCTCCCCCCCAATTAATGAATAAAATGAACAGTCTGGAAAAGGTTCAAAAGGCACAGGACAAGAAGAGAACTTGAGGAGGTATTAAAGTCTGAAATTATCCCACCACTCCTCACTCAAAAATCCTTAATGACTCCAAACTGCTTACAGGACACAATCCTGACCCCCTGCCTGGCAGGAAGGTCCCACTGTCTGTATAACACCCCTTGTAGGCCCTCCCTACCTGTCCACCCTTGAGGGTCCCCCAGCCCAGCCATCTGTCTTCCTAAACGCACTGGTCCTAGAGCATGGCCTGGCCTGCCACATGGCTTATGCAAGGATACCCTCCTGGTGACTGTGTGGCCACTGCACAGTGCACACACTGACAGTTAATACATTAACTGTTCAGATATTTATTTGGGGTTAAAGAACACTGGTTAAGTATAATCCTCTTATGTAAATTAGGTCTACAAGAAATGACTGATTTTTTTCATGACTCTGAGAGGAGACTGATGAATTAGGACTAGTTTTGATACCAGGGAACTGAGAATAGGGGAAAATGAGTAGAGTCACTGAAGATGAAATGTACTCTATAATTTCTTAAAAAGAAACAAAAGGACATGTTTCTCTTAAGATAGTTTCACAGCAAGTAGAGAACCACAGCACCCTTTTCTGCCCTAGAATTGTCTCAGGAAAGTTCCTGAGAGTTGCTGGCACCAGTTCCTATGAAACATCAATCACTCCCCTAAGAAGGCAGAGGGCGGCACCACAGAGCCCAGAGCAGGGCCTCAGTCACCTCCCGCCCAGTGCCACCGAGAGGTGTCGCCACCTGCCCCTCCTCAACAGGGCTGCCTCTGCAGTTAAATGCTTATCTTCAAACCAGCCTACCAGTTGTCTGTTTTCCAGTGAATGGACCTTTTTTTTTTTTTTTTTTAGTGAATGGACTTTTTGATTGAACTGAATGTAACACCACAAATTTTCTTTCAATTTTTGTGTTTATTGTTTATAAAGATAACAGACACAACAGGCAGACTAAAAGCCCTAAAGTAATCAAACAGAAAGTTCAAATCTAGGACCTAAAACCTTCCCTGAAATACACACTGTGACTCTCTTTATTGGGAAAGACAAGGGCATCAGCTCAAGTCTTCTGTCGTCACTGTTTTCAGTGCTGGGGCTCCCGGAGCTCACATAGCACCTTCCCTGCAATCCACCAGGGTGGGAGCCTGCCTCAAACCTGCCTGGGTAAATCAAAACACCAGACTCGTGCCAGCTTTTCATCTGGTTCTTTCCTGGTCAGAGAGAGGCAAGATGAAGAAAGACCAAACACAGGACAAGACAGAGGAGTGGAGGTTCAGAAGTTATAAAGAAAATGTCCATGAAACCGAGACGCCCTCAGGGGAAGCCAAATGTGGTTTTGTTTTGTCATCTCCAAATGCTGCATCAAGTATGTGGCAGTGACAGACTGTAACAAAGAGCCGCAGTTCTGAGGCAAGGAAAATTGGCCCATCCCACATTAGAAAGGAGTCAGGGCACACTGCCAAGCCCATCCCAGCCAAGCCGTGCTCTCCCGCCCCCGCAGGGGTCCTCCTGCAGTGACGCAGCCATGGCCACCACATGGAGCCGCAGTCCCCACCATGCTGAGCTGCCGCCCCAGGAAATCAGGAGCACATCTCTCAGCACCAAATGCAGCTTAAGTCACCAGGACCCATTTCACGTAATGACTCTAATAGCATTTGTAGTAGAAACCGCAGCTGAATTGGGGGTGCTCTTACATTTTTTCTCCCCAGAAACTTAACTCATTCTTCCATATGCTTGAGCTTCATCACACAGCGACATCTCTTCTCTAAATAGGAAACATGTGATTAACTCTAAAAGATCATCTCTAGTGAAACTAGGTTCTCCCAGCAGGAGGGAGAGTGAACAGCTGACAGTAGGAAGCCCTGCCCCTCCTGCAGCAGCTCTGCCCAGCCCACTGCTCGGGTCACCACTTCCTCAGCCCTGAAGCCAGAGTCCTGACTCACTTGGCCGCTGTTCCCAGCACCAATGCACAGGCTCGCTAATAAGACTTGTTGACGACAGTCAGGACCAGCCACACAGACATGTGCACTCACGGGCTGTGGGTACATTCATCCTGACCTCTCCCACCCCTCACAGCTTTCAGGGGAAGGGCCCTATGAAACTGCATGGCCACCTTCAGAATCAACAGATAAAATCACTACATCTCCCATAACAAAGCTGCACGTACCTTCCTCAGCCTCACCACCACCATGGGGCCCAAAAGAGCATGTCTCAGATTCAACACCTTCTTGGTGGGGGGCTCCCAGATACCACCAGCCTGAGACCCATGCTTTCATCTACTCTCAGGAGTATGGGCAAGTCAGCCTTTACAGGTCAGTGGTTCTCAAGCCCAGAGTTGACAAGAGCCACGTGTTCTGGAAGCAATTAGGAACCTGCCACACTTGCTAGTTGCAGCTAAAAAGCAGCATTTCTATGTTATTACAAAAAGTGACTAAGTTAGACCAGGAGGAAAAAGTGACAAAACATGTATATTTAAAATACCCCACAGTAAAGATGAACACTTTTTCCCCAAAAGGAAAGGGCTAAGCTTAAGGAGTCTATGCTGGTGCAGACACATAGAAAACAGGCTGGCAGGCGTGTGTGCAGGACCAATGAACTGGTCTCTCCAAAGCAGAGCTGGGCCTGATGAACCCTTCAAGCTATAAACTGACCTACAGGGCACCAGGACAGAGAGCATACTGCTCACCCTGGGGGAACCAAGTCAGGAAGATGCAAACTGTAAAACATTGATTTCAACAAATAAACTGCAAAGGAAAAAGAAAAGATGACAGAGGGAAGCTGTGCACTGAGGCCCTTCACCGGGCACAGTGCTCAGGCCTCATGGGCTCCTGAGCTACAGATGCACAGCACCCTCCTGAAGTAGGAGGATGGGGAGATTGGAGCACTGGCTTGATGTCTGATGACAGAAGAAATTATTTTTTATTTTTTAAAGGTGAGTATGATATGATGTTGGTTTTTAAAAAGTTTTTATCTTTTAAAGATACACACTGAAATATTTATGAATAAAATAATGTCTACATATTTGCTTCAAAATTATTAAAAAGAAAAAAAAGCCATCGTATTGACCAGCAATAACAAAGGAAGACAAATTAAAAGTATTTCTATCAAACACTATTTAAATTTCAACTTTCTGGTCACAAAGTTGCAAGCCTCTTCAGAATCCAGTTGAGCACTTGAGAGATAACAGAACAAATGCCCTCAACTAGGTGCACACACACAGCACATGGAACACATGTGTACACACGTACGCAAAAACTCACAGCATACACATAGTACACATGTACATACATGTAGGAAAGAGAAGGGAGTCATCTGCAAGGGAAGATGAAGCCCCCAAAAGTATGTTACCTGTCTGAGCTCCTGGGTGTCCTCCTCGGAAACGAGTGGCTCACTCATCTGTAGCTGAAGCAGCCCGCCTTCCTGGCTCCCTGAGGAGGGCTCTCGGTGCCTGGCGCAGTCCACTGGCCTGGATGCTGAAATGCAAGTCAAACAGACATCTTCCATAACTTGCACACAATGCAGAAGCACCTGCGACTTTGCAAAGATCGCCCCAGCTCTTTGGGCCAACAAAGTGTCCCCACCGGCATCTGTCCATCTGCAGTCTCTGTACTGCTGTGGTCCCCTCCCTGAGCCTCTGCAAAACTGAGTGGCTGTGGGGCCTGCCCAAGCTTTGCCTTCCACTCCAGTCCAGGGTGGTTTCCTTACTCCACTCTAATCCCAGTGAAACACTGTACATACCCAGGGTCTGGTTCTATAACTGGCGCTCAGAAGAAAGGCCCCTATCCAGGAGTAATCATTTTCTTTATGAGAAAAGACTATAGATTTGGAGTTTAAGACAGTATTTGTTGAAACCTCATGAACCCTACAGGGTGCTGCGGGTCTGGAAAGCACCAGCTGGCTGGCCAAACAAAGGTGACTATGGAGTCATGAGGTGGGGCAAGTGAGAACGCCGTGAGGCCAGGCACTGCTCAGAATGGGTTTCTGCTCAAACAGCACCTGCCCGGGTAATGTCCCTGAGGAGCAGAAGGGCAGCCTGGATGGAGACAGTGCTAACCGTGTGGCTTACAGCCCCTCCCGCGGTGTGCCACCTGTCCTTTATTTAAAGAACTGACTCCACCTGTACCCTGGCACTGGGAGCCCAGATAAAGGCATCAATTAGAGTCTGCTGGCTGCTCTTCTGCACAAACCACCTGAGGTACAGAGCACAATTACTAATTAGGACACTGGAGAGGAGGGCAGGCAGCAGAACGTGCACTGATCTGAGAATCAGCACCAGATCCTTTGAGCAGCCTTCTCTGCTTTAGTGGAATGGAGGGCACAGCAGGGCAACAGTTGACCCCCACATCCTTCCAAGGACTTAGTGGTGATGAGCAGAACCGCCTTTTATCAGAGCGACTTGGAACTCCTGCTAAAGAAAGGAGACGAGAAGCAAACCTGTTGTGGTTTGGCTCTCACTGGGCTGAAGGGCTGCTGCCCAGCTGGTGGACTTCCGGACACACTGACTGCGCCAGCCCCTCCTTGGCGGTAGAGGTCAGCCACCTCCAGCATGCACACAAACACCCCCACTATTCTTATTTCTTAAAATAATTCTTACAAAGAACATTCCCTGAGAGTGCCTGGCCTCATCCAGGATAAAAGCAGGTTGTAATGAGAACGGGAAGCAGGTTTCTCAGAGTCCTGGGAAGAAGGGCCTAGGCCAAATCGAGTAAGCTCAGGAAGCAGTCAGAGGAGTGAGTCTGCTGGAGGCAAGACCCCAGCCCTCCCCCAGGCCCATCTCTAACTATGCAAGTGAGAAACGCATCCTGCAGAGCCGTCACACCTGTACCACATCTCCAGGTCTGGAAAAGTTTCACAAGACAAAACTTTACCGCAAACCATGCACTCAAATGTCTGCTGTTCTAGTCCATTCTTTATGAAAAGGCTAGTTGAAGCCCTTTTAAACTAATGTCATAACTTGTGTTCTACACTTGCTAAAGTCTCACCTACTCCAACATCCTGGGGGGCTTGTTCATTAGCATGATGCCCATCATTCCTGTGTGGTCTAAAGTGTTGCTGACTGGGACGTGACATATGAAAAGTCCTTTTTAAAGTGTCGGTCTGCAGCAGAGCACCCTCAGCTGGGTTGGAAGCTATCATGGCAGAACAGAGGGAGTATCCTACTAATTATTAGCCTAAAGGAGAGGCCACCTGAAGCATGACATTAAAGTGTTATCTGTGATGACACAATGGCCAAGTGCACTTCACTGGCCCATGAGAATAGCAGTTCTCTGGCCTGAGGGGTAAGGAAATGCCTCCCTCAGTCATTCTGCATGCCCCCTCTTTATCCCCAGCATGCTGGCCCCACCTCCCTCTCCGCCCACACAGGTCCTGCACTCCCCCCTTCCCTCAGCAACCAGTAATCCTAGTATCATTCCATTTGCACACCTTTTAATGAACTTGCTTGGAACTGCCCTTCTGTTTATTTTTTCAGCATTTTCTCACTCCAGGATCTCCCTGACTAGCTTCTGTGAGAGCAAGGTCCACTCACTGACACTGTCCCAGGGACTGCGCTCTGGTGTCCATTTCAACACCTACAGCTATATTACTGACAGAGACGTACTCTTTTTGAACATTTAACAAAAGGGTATTACCTAAACAACCAGAAAGCCAAAATGGAGGATATTTCTTCCTGGAATATACTAAGTCAGGGATGTTTTTCAGCGGGATCCCACTCAGCACAAGGCCTTGGCCACCCCCAGTGCTCTGTGTTGACACTGGAGTTGTTGACTCAGTTACCTCAATGCTTTGAAATATCTTCTGAGAAAAATTAATTTGGTTCAGTATAAGATGGTTTTTGTCTCTAAAGTCATTAATTATCTCTGTTAACCAAACTAAGCACACATTGTTCAAGTTACAAGGAAACTTACAGATGATTTCACTTTCCAGGAAGGAGGGGACATCGAGGAGGACCTGACTGGGTTGAAGGGGCAGCACCAGAGGGCAAATGTGAGGCAAGATTTCCATGGGGTGAGAGGGTGACCAGGGCATCTTTAATTAGGTGGTCAGGGAAGGCCTCACTCAGAAGGTGACAGTCAGTAAACAACAAAGACAAAAATCAGTACCAGAACCCTTAACAGTGCCCGGCACGGACCCTACTCTGACGGAGAGAGATCTGCGGGCTTCCTCCCACACCTGTCACTCCAGGACCATGAGACAACCTGGGAGAATGCTAAGGTTGCTAAAAAGCATCAAGGCCACTAAAGCAAGGAGAGTCTGAGTAACCCACACAGTCAAGAAGGGTACAAGGAGATGTGCGGCAGAAATGTCAAATGTCACGTGGGATCCTGAAAGAGTAAAATGTAAAACCATCTGGATAAAGTATGGCCTTTGAGAATAACAACATATCCATATAGGTTCACTAGTTATGACAATAAACAACACTAATGTCAGGTGACAACAAGAGGAGAAATTGGGTGTGGGAGACATGGGAACTCTGAACTATCCTTGTAACTTTTTTTGCAAGTCTGAAACTATTCTAAAATTTGAAAGATTATTTAAAAGATACGGTGCAGAAAAATAGCAATTTGCAACTGCTCTTCCCTAAGGTGGAAACTGCCCACCGGTGTCATTCTGGGCCCTCACCGGTCCACAAGACACATTACCTCAGAGGTCTCTGGAAAGTTCTTCTGGATGCTCACCCAAAGCAAACACCTGTCTCCTGTTACTAGACTGCCACCTTCTGGCCACATATTCTACCCAAATACCTCATCAAGGAGAGGAATCCATTTCTGAGATGTCAGTCACTGTTTCCACCTTCACTGTCTCTGCAGTTTCCAATGTGGAATAGTAAAAACAGAAGTGATGGCAGACACGACACAGAGGCGACAGTGAAAACTTGGCTCTCATCACTAGGCTTGCAGAGGACACTGAGAAGTTCCTAGCAAGTCAGATACCATCTTGCTTACTAAACTCAGCAAGCTGGCTTCTTCCAAACGCACCATCCCTCATTACCTGAGCCTCTTCAAACCCACAGCTGTAAGGTGCACCTACTCTGCGAGGCAGAGTGGCCTTGCAAAGGGAGGATGGCACCTCTTGCTCAGAGCAGATGCAGACATTCTGCAGGGATCCCACCCAGAGCTAAAGTTAGCACCGAGATGAAAACCCATCTGTCAGCTCATTCCACACACATTGATCCCTTACTGTGAAAGACCAGGCTATAGCTATTCAATCTAGGTGTTGTCGGGAAGGTATCTGTAGTGTGGATGAAGGCCCATAATTGTTGGTTGACTTTAGCTAAGGGAGACTGTCCAGATAATGTGGTGGGTCTGGTACAATCAGTTGAAAGGCTTTAAAAGCAGATCTTTGGCTTCCTGGAGGAGGAAGATGATGTTCAGCCTGTGGTCAGCAGTCTCAGCCTGTGCACAAGAGGTCCAGTCTGCCCTTCCTGACAACAGGCCCTGTGGAACTCGTACTCTCCTATCTTCCTACAGTCTGCCTGTGGTTGTAGAGGCCCTGCACTTGCTTCCTGCTCCTCTCCAGCCCTATAGGCCACCTGGGTGCCAGAGTCAGAGCCTGCCATTGCTCCTGACAGTAGGTCCAGCAATTTTGTGCAGTGTGACCTCTATGCCAGACATAGCATGCTCGCATCTGCTATCTCATTCATTACATTCTGTGCCATGTTTTCTATCAGAAACCACCATGCCTAACAACCCAAAAACATGGTGAAACTCTGTGAGAAGGAGAGTTGTCGGTTTTATTTAGTATTTTTTTCCAAGACTGTAGGTGCCGGACACCACGCTTGGCACTGCGGGGTTCTCAATCAGCACTGACGAAGCTAGTGGCTGATGGTGCTCTGTGTGTGGTCCTTCTGGCCAGAGCCTCCTTCTCTCACTGCTGAGGCCCCTCCCAGGAAAAAACGCAGTGGGGTGACTCAGTCAAAACTTGGGACATCAGACCCTACCCAGCTGGGCTTGTACATGGCCTTGCCTGAAGGGCCCTCTGGTCAGGGCCTCACATTGGCAGCTACAGCCCACCCTTCTTGGCTCTTTTATGGGCCAGCTTCAAAGTCTTGCTTTGAGTTAAGGGCCAAAGAAAAACCAGAAATGCCAAGACAATAAGTGTTTAAATTAAGTTTTTACATTAACATTTCTAACATTTTGGATCTTATGATATCAGATCTATTATCAAGTATATTTCTTTTTGAAACTTGAAGCCATGTTAGGGAAATAGGTTACATATTAGAATTAAAATCAATCACTTAAGAGAAAAAAGAAAAGGAATTGGAATAGTAATAAACACGCAGGAATCAAAATTAATAAGACTATTACTTGTAAAAAAAATCACATTAAATACACAAGTAATATTACCTATAACTCTAGTATTAGAAAATATCAGAATATTTTACGACTTTGGGATTTCTTAAACAGGGCTCAAAAACAAACTTAAGGGGGAAAATGGTGGATTTGACCACAGCAAAATTAAAGATTTCTGTAATGGAGGGTGACAGTCTGGGAAAGCACTGGCAGCCTCTCAAATCAATAAGGAATGAGTATCTAGAATACATAAGGAACTCTTGCAAATCAGACAAAACAACAAATAAAACAGAACAGGCAATCCACAGAGCAAAACCTGTGGGGCTAAAAAGCAAATAGGCACCAGATGCTCCATCTCACAATCAGTGAAAAAAATAAAAATAAAAAATACCATCAAGATGCCACAGAACATCCGTCAGAATGGCAAAATTGAGAGGTCAGACAACATCAAGTTATCCCATGCTAGAAAGGAGGCTGGGACCCAAGAACCTCGAGATGTGTGGACATGTGATATATCCACATGTCCTGTCTCCCACACCGGACCACACTGGCCACGCCCAGCTACACCCTTCACTCCCCACAGAGACCTGCAAGAGAAGACCACAGCCTCACTGCCAGAGAAAGCAAGACTTTCAGAATACCCCCGGAAGCCATGTAAACCACACAAACTATGCTGCATAGTTTTCAAAGATTCTAATACCTGAACACACACCTAGAAGGTGGTCTGGGAAGACCTCAATCAAATATGAAGGAAAATAGGAGTGAAGCTGAGTCAGGGTGGGGGGAATGGATACTCACCAGAACAGGTCGGGTTGCTTCCAGTTAAGACCTTCAAGTGCTAGTTCTCAAATTAAATGGAGAAAAAAGTGAAGACACCTAACTCAGACCTTCTCTTTTTGTTCTGAAAGGGTCACCAAAATCCTTTCTGATCTATTTGGAAACCTACAAAGCTCTAAAGTGTATGATAAACCTAAGTGATTTGAGATTCACAGTTGGCAAGTACTAAGGAAAATGGTCTGAAATTATTTTTATTTACAAACAAGTGGGCAGTTGCTAGTGAGCTGGAACCAGCAGCTGCTCCAAGTGATGCACCATGTTAAGTACGTACCATGGGCAGCTGAGTCTGACTGGGATTTCTGAGTCTGTGCACAAGCTGTGTTGATGATCACTTACCTGCCTGCCATGAGGTTCCAGTGCTTCTGAGCATTAAGGCATCTTCTAAAAACTCGATCTTCTTGCTGAACTGCATTTCTAAAATGGGGACAACCTCTGGCATCTTGGCAGATATCAAACGAAAAGCTATGTCTGGCTTCCCAATGAACCGCTGGCGGATGCTAACTTCATAATGGGTGTGAACCTTAATGTCATCTACATCTTCTCTTTCAAATCTGTGTATCAGCAAAGAATTTGAGTCATGGATTTCCAACCCAGAAACAAGGATGGTGAGCCTTCCTGGCTTAACATGAGATTCTGTTCTTTGGGAAATAATAGCAGGAATTCTGATCACTATCCCTTCTTTTCCAAGAGCTTTTGTACTAGCCATTGAGGAGCCTTCCCTGGACTTTGTGTCTGGTGGCATCTTCCAAAGTTTGAAGCTAAAGGGCCACCAAGAAGGAGATTCCAGCTCTGTCAACAACCTAGAAGATCAAACAAAATACAAAAAAGTGGGTCATGCAATTTTTTATACTTGTTTTTTTAACTGCTTTAGCCTTTATAAAGCACTTGTATCACTTCATAGTTTTCTTTTCCACAAGTACTCCATGAAGCAGAAAGAACAGAAATGATTATCCCCATGTTTTAAGAAAAGAAACCTGAGGCTAAAAGCAACAGGGTGTTTGTCTACAGATACAAAGCTAATCAGCAGTGGACATACAACAAAAGATGTATCTTCTGACTAGAATGTTACTCTTACTACACTTGACCCTGGGTAATTCTGACTCAAAATAAATCCTGTTCTTAATTTCTAGAGAGCTAAAAGAACTTCTGGCAGTGACCTGTATTGTCCAATACAGTAATAAGCACATGTGGCTACTCGGTACCTGAAATGTAGCTAATGTAATGAGGAACTGAATTTTAAACTTAAATTTAATGTGGCTCGTGGCTACCATATTGGACAGCACAACTCTAAAGTAACCACTAGTAATACTAACAGATATATCTAAAAAGTCAATAAAAGAGGAAAGAAATAGAAGTAGGTAGAATTAAACACAACCATATTAGTAATCATACTAAATAGAAATGGACTAAATTCTTTAATTAAAAGGGAGATTGTCAGTCTGGGTAAAGAAACAAGACTCGGCCATATCTTGTTTACAAAAGACACTGTGAAATATAAGGACACAGATACAGCAATAGCAAAAGAATTAGAAAAAAGACATATCATGCCAAAAGTAAACTTTAAGACAAAAAGTGTTACCAGGAAAAGAGGGACCATGCATAATAATAAGAGGGTCAATCCAACAGAAAGGTTTAACAATATATGTATGTATCTAATAACAGAACTTCAAAAACTCATTCAGCAAAAATGGATAAAACTAAAAGGAGAAATAGAGAATCACAGCTGTAGATTTCAACAAATTTCTCTCTATGGTTGATAACAGCAAGAAGACAAAAATAATTAGTAAGAATATAGAAATTTTGAGCAACACTATTTAACGAACTCAACCTGATTAGTAGTCACAGAACTGCTGAATGCATTCTTTTCAAGTATACTCAGAACATTAAAAAAAAAAAAGACTGCCCTAGCCGGTGTTGCTCAGTGGTTAGAGCATCGGCCTGTGCACCAAAGGGTCAAGGGTATGTACCTGGATTGAAGGTTCGATCCCTGCCTCAGTCAGAGCACACATGGAAGGCAATTAATTGATGTGTCTCTCTCACATCAATGTTTCTTTCTCTTTCTCTCTCTCTCTTCCCCTCTTCCTTCTAAACATCAATGGAAAAAATATCCTGGGGTGAGGATTAACAACAACAACAAAAAGTGTAACAAGCCTCAATAAATATCAAGTATTGAACTCATTCAGAGTATATTCTCTGTCCCCAAAGAAATGAAACTAGAAGTCAATAACAAGAAGCTAACTAGAACATTCTCAAATACTTGGAAATTAAATGCAATTTTAAATAAAAGATATCTAAGTAAATTCTAAATAAAATATATGAAGCAAATGAAACTGAATACATAACACACACAAAAAATGGTGAAATACAAATAGAGCAGTCATGAAAGATAAATTTATTGCTCTCAATGCACATATTTGAAAATTTTTTGGAAAGGTTTAAAAATTAGTGATCTGTTTCTATTTTTAAAAGTTATAAATTAGCCTAGCCTAGCCAGTGTGGCTCAGTGGTTTAGCATCAACCCATGAACCTGGAGGTCATGGTTTGATTCCTGGTCAGGGCACATGCCCAGGTTTTGGGCTCAATCCTCAGTAGGGGGCATGCAGGAGGCAGCCAATCAATGATTCTCTCTCATCATTGATGTTTCTCTCTCTCTCTCCCTCTCCCTTTCTCTCTCTAAAAATCAACAAAAACATATTAAAAAACTGATTTGTATGATCTCTTTAAAAAAAGTTATAAATTAAACCCAAAATAAGAAGGAAAAGTAGAAATCAATAAAATTGAAAACAAAAAATATGAAATATTAACAAAGCCAAAGTTGGTTCTTTAATTTAAAAAATTAAACCCCTAGCAAGAGATGCTCAAGAAAAAAAAAATAAAGAAAATGCAAATTACCAATACCAGGAATAAAAAAGGGGGCATCACCATAGATCCTTCAGCCACTGAAAGGCTACAGAGGATATTATACTCAACTTACACAGATAAAATGGACAATTTATATGAAATATACAAAACACTTGAAAACCCAACATCTGAAACCAAGGTGAGAAAAAGTTTAAGAATACGGAGAGCTCACAAAGAAACTGAATCTGTAATTAAAAGAGCTTTCATGATGAGGGGGAGGGGACTATGGTTTAGGTGTGACTTCACTGATGAATTCTGTAAACATAAAAAAAATAGCAACTGTACACCAACTCTTTCAAAGACTAGAGCAAAGAGTGAATGCTTTACCCATTCAGTTCACAAGACTACTCTAATTCCTGTTCCAAAACCTGATAAGGGCAATATAAGAAAACAAGAACATAGCAATATCCCTTAATAACACAGATGCAGAATTCCTTATGAAAATATTAGTAAATCAAATCTAATAATTTATAGAAAATACTACATCATGATTAAGTGGTATTAATCCCAGAATACTGAGGTTTGTTTAACATACAAAAAATTAATCAATGTATCTCATTGGTAGAAAAACAGAAGGAAAACTGTATGAGTATCACAAAAGAGGCAGCAAAAGAATCTGACAAAATACCACATTCACTCATGTTAAAACTTCCAGCAAGCTAGAAACAGGAGGAAATTTCCTCAATCTGATATAGGACATCTATAAAAAACTTACAAGTAATAGCATGCCTAATGTTCAAAAAGTCAATGTCTTCCTTCTAAGATCAGAAACAAAGTTTTAAAAAGTGGACAGATTTAGAAACTGTCTGAATTTTGAAAGCATTCCCGAAATACACAGATCCAAGGCAAAGCCTTATCAGTACTGGGTGTTTAAGCATAACCTCTGTCTAACCACTGGCTCAACACTAAGCTATGCTGACGCCAGAATAACCCATAGGAGCCAAGTCAAGCTTAAAAATTAAAACATTTACAAACAAAAATAAAAGGCTGAGCAGATGACAAATGTTGCACACTACAGTGGAAATATACCCTGCCAAATTAATCTGGGCAAGTTACTAAAATGAACAAAAACGACCACCAATAGCACCACCCTGTGGTGAAGAGCGAGATCAGAATCCAGAATTGCAACAATATATATTTTTAAATGCCAAGTCTCCTAACAAAAAGTATGAGGTATACAAGGAAACCAAAATGTGACCTATACACAGGAAAAAACCCAAAACACCAAACTACACAATCAATAGAATCCATTTCTGAAAGCATTCAGATAGTGAATTTAATAGATAAAGATTTCAAAGAAGTTATAAATATTCAAGAAAGTATAGGAAACCAAATTAAAAGGATTAAAGAACAGCATAATGACGATGATTCATCAAATAGAGGCTATTAATAGAGAGACAGAAATTATATAAAAATGAAGCAAATGAAAATCCTAAAATTAAAGTCACCATAACCCAACAAAGAGAGTCCAGGACCACATGGCTTTACTGGTGAATTCTAACCAACATTTAAAGAAGAATTTATACTAATTCTTATCAAGTTTTACCAAAGCTAGAAGAGGAGAAAGCAATTCCAAACACATTTTACAAGGCCAGCATTACCCTGATACTGAAACCAGACAAGGACACCACAAGAAAAGAAATTTATAAGCAAATATTCCAGATGAACATAGATGCAAAAACCTCAACAAAATATTAGCAAACCAAATTCAACAATATGTTAAAAGGATCATACACCATGACCAAATGGGATTTATTCCAAGATACAGGGATAGTTTGACATTCAAAAACCAATCAATGTGATATATACCATAGTAACAAAATAAAGAATAAAAATCATATGATCATCTCAATAGATGACAACTATCAACAAAGTGGCTATGGAGGAAATGTACTTCAACATAATAAAGGCCATACATGACAAACCCACAGCTAACATCATAAGCAACAGAGAAAAGCAGAAAGGTTTTCCTTTAAGATCAGGAACAAGACAAGTATGAGGTATGAGATATACAAGGGAACCACTTTTATTCAACATAGTATTGGAAGTCCTAGCCACAGCAATCAAACAAGAAAAAGAAATAAAAAGCATCCAAACTGGAAAGGAACAAGTAAAACTGTCTCTATTTGCAAATGACATGACATTATATATAGAACCTTAAAGACTTCACCAAATACTGTTAGAATAAACAATTTTAATAAAGTTGCAGGATACAAAATACACAAAAGTCAGTTGCTTCTATACACTAATAATGAACTATCAGGAAAGAAATTAAGAAAACAATCCTATCTACAATCAGATCAAAAAGAATAAAACACCTAAGAATAAATTTAACTACAGAAGTGAAAAACCTGTACATTGAAGACTGTTAGACACTGAAGAAAGAAACTGAAGACACAAATAAATGGAAAGATATGCTCATGGATTGAAAGAATACAGTAGTTCCCCCTTATCCACAGTTTCTTTTCCATAGTTTGTTACCCATGGTCAACCATGATCAGAAAACAGTAAATGAAAAATTTCAGAAATAAACAATTTTATAAATTTTAAATTGCATGCCATTCTGAGTAGTATCATGAAATATCAAGCCTTCCTTCATAAAGGGATCAGCACTGCATATGCTACCTGCCTGCCAGTCATTCAGTAGACATCTCGACTATCAGATCAACTGTTATGGTACTGCAGTACTTGTGTTCAAGTCACCCTTACTCTACTCAAAAATGGCCCCAAAGCAAAGTAGTAGTAATGCTGGCAATTTGAATATGCCAAAGAAAAGCCATAAAGTACTTCCTTTAAGTAAAAAGGTGAAAGTTTTTGACTCATTAAGAAAAAAAAACAAATTGTATGCTGAGATTGCCAAGAACTATGGTTAAGAACAAATCTTGTATCCATAAAATTG